ATGCAGATTGTTTAGAACAAATAAACTAGTAAACGCTAACTGTTTAGAACAAATAAACTAGTAAACGCTAACTGTTTAGAACAAATAAACTAGTAAATGCAGAATGTTTAGAACAAATAAACTAGTAAATGCTAACTGTTTAGAACAAATAAACTAGTAAATGTAACTGTTTAGAACAAATAAACTAGTAAATGCAGACTGTTTAGAACAAATAAACTAGTAAATGCAGAGTGTTAAAAACAAATAAACTAGTAAATGCAGAGTGTTAAAAACAAATAAACTAGTAAATGCAGACTGTTTAGAACAAATAAACTAGTAAATGCAGACTGTTTAGAACAAATAAACTAGTAAATGCAGGCAAAGGAAACTGTCCACTAATGTAAGCATCAACAAGGGGCACAAGAGTGTAAACAACTGTAAACAAAATTATTTAAAAAAATTCAAATTGGGATTTATTGGTAGCTAAATTTTGTCATGTTTTTTTTCTAGTTTCCATATTGTGATGGTAGTCATAATAAGCATAATGAAGATTGTCAAGACAACGTTGGACCGATTGTCTTGAAACGAAAAGAAGTATGAATATAGATGGTTCAAATCATTGAAATCAAGAATAAATTCAGAACATTGAAATCAGGAATGATCTCAGATCATTGAAATCAAGTATAATCTCAGACCATTGAAATCAGGAATGATCTCAGAACATTGAAATCAGGAATGATCTCAGATCATTGAAATCAAGTATAATCTCAGACCATTGAAATCAGGAATGATCTCAGAACATTGAAATCAGGAATGATCTCAGATCATTGAAATCAAGTATAATCTCAGATCATTGAAATCAGGAATGATCTCAGATCATTGAAATCGATGCTTACTAACAAGGTGTTGGTGTTCATTATGTTCTTTTAAATTTATTAAAATAATCAATAAACTTTTATAATATTTTATTAAACTAAGATTTATGTTTTGTTTCATAGTGACTTTGTTATTTCTGTTTGACACAACAATCACAGAATTTGAAAATCGATCATACATGTATATTGCATTTCCACAACCATGAGTTAGAATTGTGATGCATCCAGCTATGGTGTTGGAGAAATTCTCACCATTCTCACCATGAGTGTAGGGACCTTATTATAAGATGTTTGAGTTTTTGGAAAAGTTATTTGGGTTGACCATAACAAGAATGTCATGTGACATAATGACTGGCTAACACACCTGATTGGTGAAAATAACAGGATTGTGATTGTATTTCCATGGTTACAATGTTGTAATGATACTGTCAATAAAGCCTTGAGTAAAGTTTGTGTGGCTGTTAATATATTAGTATAATATGATTATATGTTGATAGTGAGTACACTATTGTATGTAGAATCTAATATCTATTCTCCCATATGGTAATGTGTGTTGTTCATTAGGCAAATTAAAAAACATCTGCACATCCAATGACATTCCCCTAGTAATTAGGATAGGTGGGTAATAAATAGGTTTTGAATATTAAACTTTCATGAAAATGTTATGAAAGCTGTAAAACACTGATAGGATGCACAAACTTATTGTTAAACCTGAATGGACAAATCCCAGAACTTTCAGACTTAATCTGGAATGTGGGTGGGAGTGCTCTGCAGCCAGTTGAAAAGTGAACCCAAAAAGATTAACATTGAGGGGGTACACTTTGGCTTAAAAATTGGCAATAGTGCATACCCATAGTTAAAGTACGCTTTAACTATGGGTGTATTTCCCCAAAATGTCCAATAAAATATCATGAACAGATTCTCGGACATGGCTGTGCTAATTTCATTCAAACTTTGTATGATTCTGTTTTGAGATTTGATTCAAACTTGTTAACTGGCGGCCTTGATGATTTTATTTTCATTTTTCAGACATGCTTTGATTTTGATATGAACCACAAATATGTTTTGCTATTTGATTGAAACTGGTTTACATGCGAATTATACAGTTTTGTGTGATGTGATCTTATTCCTAGGAGGTGTAGTCTTGACTGAACAAAACCTGGATGCCATTTGAAGTAAAACATTATTTTTAACATGCTGAATACTCTTCACTCATTTAATTGTAATCTACACGTTTCATTGTTTAATTGACACAGTCTCACAAAATGAATTGAAACGTTTCATTACAAACTTTTTTCTCCTGAAATAAAGAGTTTGATTATCTGCAAACATATCTAAATTACAGTTGTCAAAAACAACAAAGCCTGAAATGGAAACCTGTGGACACTATTTTATTAGTAGCTTATCCAAGTCACAGTCTGTGTTATGTAATGAACAAATTAGTAATTATTACCTCGGTAATAGTGAAACCATCTTAATGATTATGTATTAAAGGCTCTGCTCATCCATCATATTGAAAATGGAAGAATGCAATATATCCTCCACAGACTGAGAATCTGTAATTTCTGTATGTTAAATAAAGTTGAAGATGAATTTCTTTTCTATATGGTATGTCCCTTATACACAATGACAGAAGACTAACATGTTACTAAAGTATTTCAGCCCACTATATTTCCTACATTTCAGCCCCCTACATAAAGTATAGTAGCCCAGAAACTTTTGTGTGTCACAAAATCCCTGTACCACACCTAACCTGGTCAGATTTGTATCTCGCTTTGAGAAGACACACAAATGTCGAACATGCGCGGCGCAACAACTACCGCCCTTTAATACCACTCTCTCAGTTAACTATAACACTTTTGAAATGCTTACGTTTGGGCCAGAGGCTTATTGTATTAAATCAAATAATATTATTGACAGCATAACGTGCAAAAGTTTTTTTTTTTATGCAAAAGTTGATCAGTTAGCCTACTAAGAGCTGTGTGGCACGAGTAGAATTCCTGAAACCCCAAGTGAGAATCTGATTAAATTATTTCCAGGCAAAAAATTATAAGAGTGGGCATGACCATGTTTTCCAAATGTCAACATAGAGGGCCGAATGCTATCAGCAACCTTTCTGCCAACTTGTGCTTTTGTGAAGCGCCATGGTCGAAAAATGTAACTTGTAACACATTGTCCGTGATTTGTGAACTGTGCATTTATTTATTTTTTCCATTAAAATCCTAAAAATTTATTTGCTCCACTTTTGTAATTTGCAAAATGAAATGAAATACCTACTTGAGAGTCTAAAGTTTTCTTGAAATCTTCTAAAAAAATAGTACAGGCTGTTTCGTTCAAATAACTCATTATAAGGTCATAAGTTAAATTGTGTTTCTTCCAAATATAACAATCACACCGATCACTGGTAGCATAGTGGTTGTCGCATCAGACTCATGATCGGTAGACCCAAGTTCAAATCCTACATTAGGCTGAACATTAAAAGGTCGACCCCTACCCTGGGTGAGTGTGCCACAGACTCAATGGGAAGGCCAATTCCACTGGCCGAGATTCATTCACTTACGAATGCGACTTTGGGGGAACCTTGGATAAGGTCCGCAGGTGCTTGTGTTCGACCGAGCCTGGTTGACGCCAGGATAGCGCATTAAAATTGCCATTTGATAGGGAGATGGCCACACAGCCCTGTCAAGTAGTCCCAAACAGGAAATGACTTCTGTGGCAAAATGCACTATGTGTCAGCACTAACACTTGCAATTTGCACTTAAAAAAAGAAAAAAAAAAGTCAGGAGTGACAACAGTGACATTCAATGTCCGGAACTGTCGCCTGGCACAAACAAAACATATTTTAAAAACAATCACTTGGGTTGCGGCTCGGAGATAATGGCAACAATGTTGCACAATGGAACCAAACATGATTTTGAATTCCACACATGAGTATAGTGATTTTACGCCAGTTACCGAGCAATGTACTTGTTATTTAAACTTTGTTTGTAGTTATAATATCGATAACCTCCCATGTTCAAACACAAAATTATACATGTTTTTTTTAAGCAATGTCACGGTGATTTGTAAACACTTCATAAAAATAACCACCAGTACCGTGCTGTAATCAGATTCATCAGAAAGTAAAAAAAAAATGGTTAGAATTTGGCCAGAAAATACTCGCATGTTAAGAATTAGTCAGAATTCAATTGGCATGAAAAATATTTCAGTTTATGGCGGTACTCAAAGACAAAGCCACAAACTGCCCCTCCCTCATCTAGCATTTCTCATGCCAATGACTTCTATATACATTTCCATCCAGGCTATACTATTATCCTGCAGAACAGTTCTCATGGATTACTGAAGAAACCACTAAACTGAGTTTTCAGTCGCTGAGTTGCTCAAAGTTGCGGGCTTATTGTACTCAAAGAAACGAAACTGGATGATACACATGATCATGATAATTAGACTGTAATCAGAGAAAAAGGGGTTTTATATGCACAATATTTGCAAAATATTCGCCGAAAATAATATTTAATCAGTAAATTGTTTGTGTCGCTAATTATTGTCCGATTATCTGTGATTAGCGAAACAAACTATTTACTAATAAAAATCTCATTATTTCGGCAAATAATTTATATCATTATATACACGACTGAAATATTGTACGTGTCGAACTCTTGTTTTGCTGATTACAGATTTCGGATTATCTGCGAAACGAAAGATTTACTAATTAAAATCCTGTTAGTTTTAGCAAATATTTTGTAAATATTGCGCCAATAAAACCCATTTTCTCTGATTACAGTTTAAAGGACGGTAGTCTTCATGTCACGCATGCGCGAGATATACGAGTCTCGTATAAACAAATATGGTGACTTTGACTGTTGCGCAGATCAACAAGTACAAACTAAAACGTTACCAAGCTTTAATTAGGTATTTTTAGGTGATTGGAAGGTAATGAACGAAGGTAGTTCACATCGCACCCAGCTCAAACCTGATACTTGTGATTCACATTAGATTGTGGGAAAATTAATGTTTATCAATACAAATGTCGCACATGCGCAGCGTGACGACCACCGCCCTTGAATTGTCACCATGTGAATCGTCATTTCGTTTCTTCGATTACAATAAACCCAAGTTGCGCAGCGACCATTCACTTGGTTGTCAAGCAAATAATCACTGCTGTAGGAGAACTTTTCTAACAAAACAGACATACATAAAAAATATGAGCAGGTAATAGCAGGTCTTCAAATAATCAGTTGTGATTGCATTGCATTGGCACTGAGGCTCACGGGGTAGTGTTCGGAAACCTAAAAGTTCTAAAATAGAATCATTCATTTCCCATTATGTTATAATTGAACTGGAGTACATTTCGAGGAGTTTGACTAATCGACCATGAAAACGAAAGAATTTGTGCTGTCTGCCACGAGTGTCGTTTTTTCTAATTTGCATATGCAAATACATATGTACAGCACGTACGCTTCACGTGAAACAACAACAATACTAGTACATAGAATGAGCTTCCGTGATATTTTCTCTGTGTTGTGTTTTAATGATAATCTTGATGCAGCAAGCTGAAAATATATCTATTTTGGTACAAGTAGGTAAGTAAGACTACCAAGCTCATATTTTAATTCTGTATTTAGCTGTAATCGTCGTAAATTTGTAAATTTTTGAGAAAAACACGAGTCTTGTCCGTCGACACCCGAGTCCGTGACATCCTTGTCTGTGTGTGGGTAGATGTGGTTTCACTCTTAATCCGACGTGCACCACCCTTTCTTGTCTGGATTCTGTACAAACCATGCGCTGTATTGTCTACCGATGTTGAACGCGACTCGTTTGACTTTAAAGGAGATGGCTGTTCGAGTAGCTTGTTCATGTTATTATTATATCGTGCACTTGTAATTATTTTGCGAATGATTTTCAAAGTCCGTTGACCCAAACACAGTTTCTCAACCAAGACCCAAACAAATTAATTCACCCATCACCATCATTGAATCACGGTTCTTACACTTGTTACATAATTACACAATGTTTGTTAGATTTTCTCAAAAATTAATTGTTGGCAGTTTTAAAACTATGTGTTGAAATCTTGAGCAACTGGAAATTCGATATTTGGGTGTGTAAAGCGTGTCCGCCCGTTAACATTTTTCTGTCCTTGACGGTCGTAAAGCAGTATTAATTTACTCAATCTCTAGGGTCCTCGTGCTCCTTTTCAAGGTCTTGTGGAATGTTGAATTATAGTGCTTCCTATCCGTTTTCTATGGTTACTGTTGCATCACATTGTTTTATGTGAGCATTGCTGTGAATGCATCATTGGCTGCAAGGAATGTGATCAATTGTAATGCAATAAAAGAAACCTTTCAGGTGGTAAATACCAATGTTGATTCATCCAATAATCAGTTTGACCAAACACTGGAAGACATTTCTGAAAATCAAGTGACAGTTTTTTTTTTTCTCTTCTCAGGTGTGTCTATGATTTGATGCTGGTATATTGGCATCATGAGTTTCTTGTCAAGGCTGTTAAAGGGGCGTCATGAATCCAAACCTAAAGTAGACCAACATGGTATTTATACTAGTTGTCAAATGAGCACAGTTGTCATGGAAGGGAAGTTGTCTATCCATGAACCTTGGCGGAAACATCGCAAGAAACCAAAGAGTGTTGTTGCTTATTTATACACTAATGATTCATCACCATTTTTGGTGTGGTATGCCAATAAAGCAAAGAAACAGGCACGTGGATGTATTCATACTGATTGTTGTCAGATTGATCCCATGGATGAATATAGCTTCAATATTATTACTAAAAATAACCAAGAACTTGTGTATAAATTCCACGCCGATTGCTGGGAGATTCGTGAGGAATGGCTGTATCAGATCAGGGATCAGTCACGAAAGAAACCTGTTATGCCTCAATTTCACACAAATCTTGAGAATTGCTCAGATTCACCACCACAACCACCACCACCAGAAAGACATCATTCTAGGCGACACCGATATGGACATCGACGTACTTTGAGTGCTGATGCACCATCACCCAAACTAGCAGAATGCTCTGTGCTGTTACAGCGAAGTCGCAGTCAACCCCATTTACAGAATAAAGCCAGAATGGCTAAACGAAGACCTCAACTTGCACATAATACTCCTACTACTTCAGTTCAAAGAACAATGCAAGTCAATGCATTTATTAGATCTCCAGAGCTATAAAGAAACAGGTTTTTTATTTATTTTTTTAAAATTGAAATGATATACAGAAAAGAGTAATAACCTGAAACCTATTACAGTACAAACCTGTTTGCCCATGATTGGGAAAAATTCCTGCTATTAAGTAGCCAGTTTTTAACTTAATTGATACGTCTCTTGATTTCTGAATGAAGTGGTACAAATGACATGTCAAGTTTAGCTGTTTGCTTTTTCACCTCCATTATAATCTCTTTTCATCTGACACAAATTAATGTAGATCTGCACACTTAATTTTTCTCTCCGTCTAAAATGTTGACACTAATCTAAAAGTGTGGTTCAAAACTGACAAACCCTTCAACTCAAATTTGTTAATTAAAATAATTCTGTGTGATTGACATTTCCATCAAAATTTTTTGCAATTGGTGCGAGTGAAAATAACAAAAAGCATAAAAACAAACTATTTTTGTGTCTAACTCATTGTGTATTTTGACAATAATACAAATGATTTGTGAGATTTAAGTAATCCTACTATCCCAAAGGTGTTATCATGAACTATTGATCATTGGAGACAAAAATAAGGACTTTTGTTCTTATAATTTACAAAACATTATTTTTTCATAATTTCAGCCTAAACTCTTGACTAATTTAAAATAAAATGCATTGGGGAAATATGAAATTGAAAAGTACATATAAACAACAGACATTTGTGTGCCTCTGATTTATTAGTACACATGGATTCACATCAACTACCAATTTAAGGCAGTGGGTTATAAACTCTTTCTCTGTGTAATTTTTGTGCCCAAACACTTCCAGGGTTATTTTTAAAATTGAAGTTATGTAAAATATTTCAATTGTGTTAGTCATGTGATTTGTATTTCCTACTTCCTATTTAGATAATGTTAACAACATAATCAGCTCTTCCCATGTCTTTTAGCATCTTGTTTATTTATTATTATATATAGTTGTTGTTGTTGTTAATGTTGGCAAGAAATTCTGAACAACTTATTTATCTCTTTTTATATGAATTTTTGTCTTGAAAGTATTAACTGAAAATATTTATTTAATTTTAAATGTGGAACACTGTGCAGTAGGTTTGGCAAGGGTTACTGAATACTCTTCAGTTTTTAACAATGCAAAGAAGCTCATAAATGGCTTTATTAAAAATGAATTTGTATATACATTGTAATTCCCCAAAAAGTTGTTTTTCCTTTCTCTGCACACTAGGACCTACATCTTGAAATTATACTTTACAGGGTAGCATGTTCATCCATTTGTAAAACAGGTATGGGTGTCTGTCCACCCTCATTTGGTTGGTTTTAATTATTACATTTCAAACAATTTACCTGACAAGTGTATTTAATTTTTGTACTTGCTTAATAGTGTCACTCGCCATACCGTATTTATATTTCTGGGGTGTATATATTGGCAATTTTCCACTTTCTTGGTGGGGGAGGGGAGATTACTGTATAACGTCAAAATAATTTTGGTCATTTTAAAGAAATGCGAGTCTGAATTTTAATGGTGACTTCATATTTCTGCTCCTAGGTAATTCAAATGGCTGTCATGAACACCACTCTTAAAAATCTGTCATAACTCAGTGTATATATTTTGTCTGTGTAGACATTGCTTGTGGTCTTAATAAGACTTGTTGCTACATTGGGTGTGCCCTCAGGTCATAAATGATTGATGGTATGTCAATGATAATGTCACATTATTTAGTTGAAGCTTTATTCTTCCAACAATACTGATGACCTTGAGAATTTAATTACAGTCACCCAGCTATCAAAACTACTGGTAGCTATCCATTAATACAGTATAGGCAGTCTATTTGATTTGACTCAGTTTTTTTCTTCATTTCCTCTTTAGTTTATTTGTATGGTAATGGCACTGACGGTGGTTGTTGCACTGCTAAAATTTGAATTCTGGTTAATGACTGGTTATTGCACAACCAAAGTTTGAATTCTGGTTAATGGTGATGGTTGTTGCACTGCAAAATTTTGAATTCTGGTTAATGGCTGTAGTTATTGCACAACCAAAGTTTGAATTCTGGTTAATGGTGATGGTTGTTGCACTGCAAAATTTTGAATTCTGGTTAATGGCTGTAGTTATTGCACAACCAAAGTTTAAATTCTGGTTAATGGTGATGGTTGTTGCACTGCCAGTTTTTGTATTCTGGTTAATGACTGTAGTTATTGCACAACCAAAGTTTGAATTCTGGTTCATGGCTGTAGTTATTGCACAACCAAAGTTTAAATTCTGGTTAATGGTGATGGTTGTTGCACTGTCAAATTTTGTATTCTGGTTAATGACTGGTTATTGCACAACCAAAGTTTGAATTCTGGTTAATGGCTGTGGTTGTTGCACTGCCAAATTTTTAATTCTGGTTAATGGCTGTGGTTATTGCACAACCAAAGTTAGAATTCTGGTTAATGGCTGTGGTTGTTGCACAACCAAAGCTTAAATTCTGGTTAATGACTGTGGTTATTGCACAACCAAAGTTTAAATTCTGGTTAATGACTGGTTATTGCACAACCAAAGTTTGAATTCTGGTTAATGGCTGTGGTTGTTGCACTGCCAAATTTTGAATTCTGGTTAATGGCTGTGGTTATTGCTCTCCGCAAGTTTTGTTAAATAAAGTAAGATTTTGTGTGGAGTTCTATTTGCACGGTGTATTGACTCGTACTACTACCACAGCTAGAATGCAAAAGCAATTTTTTTCTAGATTATTTATTTTTGATATTACAGTTATGTTAACAATTTATACTGCTGAAAATATAATTGAAAACCAAATGGTTATATCATATATGACCAAAGTTATTAGTCTTATTGTGTTTCTATTCTTATTTACATGCATACATAACGCAAGACAGATTACAAATTATCAGTGTAGTTTGTTTGGTGCAGGTTTACATGCAAGCTGATAACTAAACAATATCTGGCACCAATTTAATTTCATGAATCAGTGAAATTTGCGACACTTTGAGCAGTAAAGATTTGCTTTCACGATTGCCATAACAAAATCATCAAATTCCTGACAGTGAAAATTAAGTGGTTTTAAGACAATAGTTTGTATTGACTAAACTTAATTTTCATTTTCCTCAACAACAACAACAATTGTTGAGGTTAATGAATGTTAACTGTCAAATGCAGCAAATATTGCCAACAAATAGATTTGATAGAGTAAACGTGACTAACCACATTTGCATTCAAATATGGCATAGTGATATATAGAGAATTTATTAAACAAGTATACATAGTAATTTTTATTTCTTTATTTTTATTTTTTTTTTACTATTATTACGATTGTGAACTATGGCTATTTTTGAAACCATTGCTATAGTAACAGTATCAGGGATGCATTGGTAACATAATTACTAATTTTGAAGTCAATTCAAACGACTATTACTCAGTCTATGGGAAATTGCCATAATACACTGGGAAACACATTTTTTGTGTGCATAGAAGTTGAAGTTAGGAGAATTTAAAATGATGTCTCACATATACCGTACTCGACCACGTTAGCGCCCAGGGGCCTCAACTCAGAAAATCACGATTTTTTAGGGGTGGGCGCTTACCCAAGCACCCCCCCTCGAAAAAGAGTGCAAATGAAAAATTTATATCACACCAGAAACTACCTTAAATATTCAAATTAATATTTTCTTAATTCAAGAAATATTGTGATACACAGCCATGATGTCGAAACTTCAATATGTTTGCATGGACCAATCAGGTTGCTCGGATGTTTATTACATAGTATGGAGATAAAGTAAATTGTTACACTGCTGTGTTATACTAACCTGTCTTAATGGATGTTATACTGATCTGTCTTAATGGATGTTATACTGACCTGTCTTAATGTATGTTATACTGACCTGCCTCAATGTATGGGATACTGACCTGTAATAATGTATAGGATACTGACCTGTCTCAATGTATGGGATACTGACCTGTCTTAATGTATGGGATACTGACCTGTCTTAATGTATGGGATACTGGCCTGTCATAATGTATGTTATACTGACCAGTCATAATGTATGGGATACTGACATGTCTTAATGTATGGGATACTGACCTGTCATAATTTATGTTATATACTGACTTGTCATAATGTATGTTATATACTGACTTGTCATAATGTATAGGATACTGACCTGTCATAATGTATAGGATACTGACCTGTCTTAATGTATGGGATACTGACCTGTCTTAATGTATGGAATACTGACCTGTCTTAATGTATGGGATACTGACCTGTCTTAATGTATGGGATACTGACCTGTCTTAATGTATGGGATACTGACCTGTCTTAATGTATGGGATACTGACCTGTCTTAATGTATGGGATACTGACCTGTCTTAATGTATGGGATACTGACCTGTCTTAATGTATGGGATACTGACCTGTCTTAATGTATGGAATACTGACCTGTCATAATGTATGGAATACTGACCTGTCTTAATGTATGGGATACTGACCTGTCATAATTTATGTTATGTACTGACTTGTCATAATGTATAGGATACTAACCTGTCTTAATGTATGGGGTACTGACCTGTCTTAATGTATGGGATACTGACCTGTCTTAATGTATGGGATACTGACCTGTCTTAATGTATGGGATACTGACCTGTCTTAATGTATGGGATACTGACCTGTCATAATGTATGGAATACTGACCTGTCATAATTTATGTTATGTACTGACTTGTCATAATGTATGTTATACTGACCTGTCATAGTGTATAGGGTACTGACCTGTCTTAATGTATGGGATACTGACCTGTCTTAATGTATGGGATACTGACCTGTCTTAATGTATGGGATACTGACCTGTCATAATTATAGAATACTGACCTGTCATAATGTATGGGATACTCTCTTTTCTATGCATAGACTGATAGCAGAATAACTTGCCCTGCTCTCTCTTTTCACTGCATAGACTGATAGCAGAATAGCTTACCCTGCTCTCTCTTTTCACTGCATATACTGATAGCAGAATAACTTGCCCTGCTCTCTCTTTTCACTGCATATACTGATAGTAGAATAACTTGCCCTGCTCTCTCTTTTCACTGCATATACTGATAGTAGAATAACTTGCCCTGCTCTCTCTTTTCACTGCATATACTGATAGTAGAATAACTTGCCCTGCTCTCTCTTTTCACTGCATATACTGATAGCAGAATAACTTGCCCTGCTCTCTCTTTTCACTGCATATACTGAT